TCCGAAGATAGAGACAATGTTTCAACGTTAAGTTGGAAGTATCGGAAGTTCGGAAGTTCGACCGGAAGTGGGTTGGGACCAGAAACAACGTTAGGATGAAGATCCGGAGGGGAATAGACCGGAAGAACATTTATAATCAAACTGAGGTACATCCAAGACTGTACTACGTATTTATAATATTTACGGGGCAAGTCCGGATGCGGAGGGAAGTAACTAAAAGACAATAAGATAAGTCGTATAACAATAAGGACAATAAAGGAAAGCATGTGGAGCATAGTGCATAAGGACATAGGATGTGATGGTAAGTCGGATGACTGATGAAACCATCGGATATGACACCGCATGGACTGGGTGTCGTGTGGAGAGTCCGAGGAAGTTCTGTGATACTTCCGAGGCCGGAGCCGGAAGACGGAAGACGGAGATCGGGGGGACCGGGGGTTCGGATGAAGATCCGGAAGTGGCGGAGAATGCCGGAGGTTAGGCCGGAGGCAGCCGGATGTGGTCGGGAGTGGTCCTGGAGTTGCACGGGCGTAACACTCCCGGTCTACGCCGGTTTACCTCCGGCTCAACCCCGGGAGACATCCGGACTACGACCAGATGACTTCCGGTTATCATCCATTCATCTCCGTCCTCTTCCGGCTTAACGTTCCGGTCTTCTCCGGAACACTCCGGCCCTTATCAGACTTCATCCGGCCCTTCGGCCGATGATGAGTTTTTGCGCAACCGTCTATCTGCCTTAGCGGCAGATCTCCACATGCACTCCTGTTATGCACACATGCTCTATATTCTCAATCTGTCACCTCCCTTGTACTTATACAAGAAGCTATGTTCTCCTTTTATTCTTCCCTTGTTCTTCAATCAATTTCTTTATATATACTTACCTCCGCTATTATTATAAAATGTCTAGATTACGGTCATGTACTTTAGATTGATTATAAATGTTCATTCCTGTCTAATGTTGTTTGGCTTTCCATCATTCTCCGTCGTCTTGACTCTTCCTCCAACGTCCGGGTACTCCGGCCAACGGACTCGACTTCCGTCTCCCGTCTGACGACCGGACTTGTCGAAAACCTTATCCCGGACGTCTGGACTTATACATCCGTGAACTTCCCTACTTGTCGGACTCCATCTCGGACTTCGGCATAACTTCCGGATTACCGGACATCGCCCGGCCTTCGGCACATCACCTCCGGCTTACTGGACTTTGTCCGGCCTTCGGCATTAATCCTCTGGCTTACTGGCCTTCACTTCCGGTAACCCTCGGCCATCTCCCTTTCCCTCCTCCTTCATTCCTAGCCAACCAGATAGTATGCTCACCCTTAAACCTAGCTGTGGTGTAGTGGTCCATATCCGTGTTCCGGAATCCTCTCCCGTTTACTTCCGTTGACCTCTGGCATTCCCGAGCCCAGTCATAACCCATCCAGAACCTATGCCCTCTCCTTCCTTTCTCTCCTCCCTCGACACGGATATAACACCAGTCAAGTTTCTGCTGTGTAGCACGCTGCAAAATAAATAGAATATGCACTACTGGCAATGTACCTGACACTCTGGGCATCAGCGACAGAATCCGGCAACCCTGGTATGGGAAGAATAAAAGGTTCTGACTGTGTATTTGATTTGAAGTTTGTCAGAACCAATTTCAGGTGTTCCGACACTTGCCAGGTCAGACACGGTTTACTTGCTCCTGATATTGCTCCTGACGCTCAAAGAGTTAGGTGCAGGTTTTATTACCTTCAAACAACAAGTGTTAGGGTTAGGTGCACTGACAGGAAGTTCCCAGACACAATAAGAGTCCAACCGCCAGACACTGGCTATCACTCGGCATCAGTCAGCCTGATTCTTATTGTGTTCGGAGCCTGCCCAATACTGTGCCTAATCCTTATTGTTCCACAAGGCTAGACCCTGAACCTGACCCTGTCGGTGTCAGGAGAAATATCAACCCCACACAAATTGTGCCTGACATGGTTGGTGTTGGCACACCTGAAACTGGCTCCAGCATGTGCCGAACCAGGTTTGAGATCAGATTGACTTACATATCGGGTAGGATTTCAGCGCACATTATTCAGTCACTACCACTACAAATGTCAGGTACATTTCCTTGTAAACTGATTCTTTTTATTTTGCGGAGTGTAGGTGTTTGGAGTTGAAACTCTTAGAAATCTGGAAGGGAGCAAACTACACATCTGAATTCAATGTGTGAATCTTTTCAGATTTGTTCATGGGCAATGGAGGGGGCCATGAAGCTGCAGAGACTGGCAAAGCATGCAAAACTTTGCAAAGATGATGGTCTGCCAGACACCAGAAAATCTGGTGATCTGTATCTGGGGGCTGCAATGAGGCAACCAAAGGTTGGCGAAGACTCAAGAGTGGCCCCCAAAGTTGAGAAAACAAAAACACATTTTGTGCTATGAGAGTCATTCAAAGGGTAAAAAATCCATGAGCCAGATTGAAGCTGACCTGGATTCTCATGATACCAGTTCCTCTGGGGTCAAAATTACCAGTGGCTGCCTTTGAGTGCATCATGATGCTTTTCCAAATTCAGAACAGCTCCCTTCCTTGTCGTTTTTTGTTCAGAAATTCAGTTTTCCTTGCTGTGGTTATTCAGCCCCACAAATCTTCAAGAGCTCTCATGAAATTGAATGATAGGGATATTTTGACAAAAGCCTTCCAGTTATACACTGCCATTCTGATGTTCCCTTCTCTTGGCTTGATAATCAGGTTCTAAGATCAGGATTCCTGTTAAACAACATCATTGCTGGTGTCGGAGACATCAAAGCTTTCTGTGATGGATGGTGGTGTCAGTGCCTCCGCACGCTGCAGAGCAGTTGCCACCCCATGCCAACATTATCTTCCAGTCTGGGATAGTGGACCGGACACAATGTGCAAGTCTACGGAATTGACAACATGCAGCTGAGCAGTAGTCTTACACTATAACTGATCACTCGTTCCTTGCTACTTATAGTCTGTTAGTTACTGCGCCCCGATGACTGGTGATCTGTGTTATCACGGAATGATGGCGATGCACAGCCAAACAACTCATTTATATTCATGCGTTTTGTACCATTCAACATGTTTGTTGAGGCTGGAACTACTGTGCGAACTATTTAAGGCTTCATATCGCCCCCTGAACATTGTTGGATCCTTTCTGATATTTTTTACCATTGAGTCAAAGGATTTCAGTGATTTCGGCATTCATTCGAGGAACTTATTGAGTCTGGTGAATTCTCCTTGAGTCTTCACTCAAAAGAACACACAGGAAACAGGAGTGGGTCCCTTCACTTTCCCCGCTGCCTGAATCCCAATGAATGGACTTCAAACATGTCAAGTCGCGTCGTTGCACTATGCACGTGCTTTCCCAAAACGGATGCTTATATAATAACGCAGAACGCCTCTTGTGATGGCGTGGTAACTAATAGACTAGCTGAGCAGGTTGGAGAGCAAAGAATACTTGGCAAAGGGATTGGCAAGATAGTGATGCAGCATGAAACTCAGAGGTTAAGGATAATGTTGAAGCAGAAGAGAATTGTATAGCATACTGTGGTATTTCGTTCAATTCATACAGGGGTTTGGGGTGTGACACCATCATACGAATTGACCCTTTCGTACGGCATCCATATCAGGCATTTTGATCCACTGGCAGCGCTCAGCTAACCTCCGCTAACCTCAGGTCCTCAGCCAGCTCGGCTAAGCTCGAAATTGCCTCGGTGACCCAGTGATTTACGAAAATTTTCATAATTTTTCGGCCGTGTGACATGTGACTATACAAATTGAACGAAATACCACAGTAATAGTGCTGCACACGTATTGCGCAGCATGGATATGCCCGATGTGGGATCCGACAAGTATGACACATTTGTAGTTGAGATTGAATGTATAAATGAGCTCGACATGGTGAATATGAAACATCCAGGAGGAAACAACAGTTCCCAATGTGTCCACCTTCGTAACAGCTCTTGAGGGAGTATTACAAATATTTATCATTGTATGATCCTAGCAATTCTTGGGATGTTACACTGGTGGTCTGGGACTTGGATAAGCCTCCAAGTTGCCAACACAATCAAGATGGATAAAGAGTGGGCCTCTCAAACCAGAATATTCATGTCTGAGTGCTGATGTGGCTACAGCTCAAAGCCAACTGCAGATATCTACTGCGGCCTTGATTTGCGACTAGGGTGGGAGCTGAGGGATCAACATAGATGGAGCCCTGATGCTCCAGGAAACAAATCAAGAGCAGATCTGAAGTGGATGGCAGTGGATAGTTACTGTGGGCAGACACTCAGCAACCCAGCTAAGAGCTAACCTCTGAAGAACACTTAGATAGTGATACTGATACACTTAAAGAACACACCTGCAGGCCCAGTGGATTCATCTTCTGTCAAAAGAGCAGGACAATCCAACAATAGGTCATTAGGTAAACCAGCTAAATGTATCCAATTGAGCTATAAGAAGTAACTCAATTAACCGTAGTTTCAGCTCTATCATGTGTCTGGTCAGGTACATAGTTGGGGCTCCCAAAATATCAGGTCCCTAGGACCTGCCTGCTAGATGACATTTGTAAACAACAACCATAGTCACTTTATAATGAGGTGAAAATACAGTGGTGCTCGGTTAATGTCCTCTCGAGCTGCTGAACCTGCTCTTCTTGTATACTACTCTCCTTATCTTGATGACTCAATATATGTTATACACTGGTCCGCTTATGAAATCTGGGTCCAATCTCATGCCTTATTAACGCTATTGGCTCCCATTTTGCAGCGGATGGTCCTCCGGTTTGTTTCATTGCATTGGAAATATTGATACTGCCTCATTGATCCATCAAAATAGTATGCTTTGCTTCGGGTTTCAAGGGTGCATGGCGCAATGGCTAGCGTGTTTGGCTCGTACTCCTACCAGGCACTCAAATTTCGGGTGAGGGGCAGGTTGAAAGGTTGTTCGTTTAGTGAATGAAAGTTGTGTAGATCCTCTGGGGTATTGACAATTGCCTGACCTCCATCTTACAAGGGTGCGTGGCGCAATGGCTAGCGTGTTTGGCTTCGATGCTTACGTAATTGCTACCATACCAAAAGGCTGCAGGTTCGAGTCCTGCCGTGCTCAATTTTTGCCTCCTCCGCTGAAGATCAGGTTTTTAACCTGGCGAGCCCGCGTGGTATCCAGTAATTTCCGCGGAGCGAGGTCAGGCACGCGCAGTGTCACGAAAAAAGTACTAAGTCAACGCAAAAATCGGCCTTGAAAAAATTCATCTTCTGCCGTATGTACCCAGTTTTTTTCACTAAAAACTACTAAGTCAACCTGAAACTTGGTTGGGACCACAATCAGTTCAAATTTCCATTGTGAACTGGCTAGCTACCCTTCCGCCTGTGTTCAAACTCTGTGCCAGCTTTGTAGGGGGTGAAACCAGTTTATCAAAGAGAAAGAATATAGTGGAATATTTGTGAACAGTGTATTCAAAAGAAGAACGAACAGAGTTGAACAAAACTTACCCTATCACAAAATGGAATGGCCAAAAAGCACCAAGTCCCCACCCAAATTGGACTTGGCAAATTTGTCATTTTGAGCACTCTCTCAGATCCCCAACCCTTGAAGCACCCTGGTTTTTTCAGGTAGAGAGCCCACTGAGATGTGGAGAAGTTATCCCAATGGAAAATGTGGAAACACAAAATTCAGCCAAATGGCTGGGTCAACTGAACAACAAGTACACGGCCATTTGTGATGCATGCTACTGAAACGTCACACAGTGATATTTTTTCAACAACCAATCAATATTTTACAAAGGTTGTTACAATGTTACATGAACATTTGACTTCAAAAACATCTCTCAGACGTCAGCGGCTCGCTGTAGCAACATTGTGATGTGGCTTGTCAAACACACCAAGAGACACCTGACAGGGGTAGCTACTCATCATCATCAAAATTAAATACTAATCACCTGGTATGGGCTGCAATACATAGTATTTTTCAAATAATTTTACGAGTACTTAGTAATCGTTCATAAAATCTCGTGACCGTCATTCTTCCGACCTCGTTTTTTTATGGTCGACATTTTCCGTCCGTAATGAAAATAGTGGCTGTGCTCCAGATTCATTAGATTTTTAAAGCCTCGATAGTGGCTGTACTCCAAACCTGACTGTTTCATTAGAAACAGATCTAACGAACCTTAAATCACTGTCACGGTGGCTGAGTATTTTCTTACGTAACAGATTCCGATTTTACTCTCAGCTCTTCAAATTTTTCAGTGTTAAAATTCTGTTCTCCCTGCGCCATTCCTTCATCATTGAACTTTGTTTTTGCTTCCTCAGATATCTGCTGTTGGTGTTTTGTGTTTGCAAAAGGCCCGCACAAGTTTGACACTGCCAGTGTGATGTCACATTTCAACCTTCATTTTTCAAGCATTTCTGATCTTTGCTTTCTACGGTCTCAACACGGCCTCGTACCTTCGGGGTAAGCTGGCAATTATTTTAGAAGATCATTATATGGACAATTCTACAACAGGACTCGAAGGAATTCATTCAGAAATGAGCGAGTTCTGGAGGGTGCAAGTAGGCCTAAAACACACTTTTTTGTGAAGCTTCTGAGATATTTATTTATTCATAGACCTTCATGATATTCCAAATGAAGCATCTAATGGGATGTATTTACTAACTGCAGGCTGCACCTTGGCCATATTCCACTGGTATTGCGTGCTAGACAGCAATCAAGTGCGAAACATGTTGGTTGTGACATGATGTAACATCCTGTGACGAGCGTGTCGCAACGCAATGAAAATCGCAGTGGAAAGCAGAAATTGCGAGACTTCGAGTCCTTGGTAGGACTAATTAGGTAACAGAAGGGAAAAAGAAAAAGAAATGAAGAACTGGATACCATGCTAGTCTCATAGCAACAGACCTTTCCCACCTTGGGCTTCGCATGTGATGAGACGGACAGTGCGGATGATCGAGGTGAAGGATCCGTTAGGGAGATGGTACTGGCATTGGCGACGGAGATGAGGGAGCCGGTGGAAACCTTGAGCAGCATTCTGAAACTTACAACATACAGCCAATGATGGATTCGAAGGAAAGCAAAGCAGAAAAATATTTGAAGCCCACACTCGAAAGATGGCGCAGGAAGATTAAAATAGGGCGCCCGGTATTGGGCGCTGAAAGGGACATACCGCGAAGAAAGGGATGCCAAATAAAGAGAAGTATTGCAAGAACAGAGCGCGGAAAAAAAGGGTGAAGGATAGACAAAGGGGGCAGGAATGGCAAACAAAAAACCCACCTAACTCGAATCCGGAGCGGTGTCTGTGGAAGACAGGCGTATGCGTTAGGTGGGGAGCGCGGGGTAGAACTGATTCAGGGGCTTGCGGAGCTGGTGGCGAGTGGAAGATGGGGTTCACGCATGGGGCAAACAGTGTGTCAAAATGGCGAGCCGGCGAAGCGGGGTCGTAGACGCACTCGCAACGGGGGTGCCTAGAACTGGTGTTCGGTGGGTGGAGATAGATAGGGCTATGATGCTTGCAAAGGTGGCGGCAAACACGCGTGACGTGTGTCGTGCTTGTACGAGTCGCGCTGCCATGCAGGGTGTCAAGGCAGCGGCGTGGCAAGCAGTAGAGGCGGCGAGGCGGCGAGCGCAGCTCCACTTCCCAGAGCAGGGCAGGCGGTCGGCAAGGAGGGCGCCAAGCTGAGACATTGAGCCTTAAGTGCGTACGAGCAAGGAATCCGCAAGAGGCAGCACATTGGGGACGGAAATAAGCAGGGAGAAGGAATGCAAAGACGGACGGAGACACACATGGCGAAGCTGACGACGGCAGGTAAGAGCTGCGCAGAAGTGGCGTGCGTTGCGTACGGGCAGCGGCAGATATGGGTGTGGGCGACAGGGTCAGGCCGATGGGCAAGAATTGGGCGACAAGGTTGAGGACGAGGATTTGAGAAGGGGATCATGAACAGGACCTGTACCTCAAAGGCTGAGAATAACAAGAGAAGAAAAATGAATGGAAATGAACTGACCGACGTCCCGTTGAGCAGCGTTAGTCGATTTGAAAGAATGTGGAACTCAAGCAGGTTGGGTGGAGATGAATACTGAAATATTGAATACAATTCTGTCAAGACAACGAATCCACTTACGGGGGCGCGCATATACCCAGCAAATCTGGAAAGCAAAGTAAACCGGGTTCAGTTAGTGAAGGATCCGGTGAATTAACAAACTCGGCATTCAAGCCTGCGAGTCATTCTGGAATTAGGCATCAATTCAGTAAATTAAAAATTCTCCACAACGATTTAACCTGCCGTGAAGGCTCGAGTTGGTTGTTATGTAAAAGTACCGACGCAAGGGTAGGAGTCCAGCAATACTGACATGATCTCGGACTTCTGGGTAAGCCGAAATGGATAGCCACGTCCTGTCCTCAAATTAAATTCAAGTCTTAAACTTCAAGTCAGAATAGGGTTGAGCATTAACAATGGGTAAATTACCAACCCTCCGACCTTGCAAGCATGAGCTGCGCTCCTTGCCATCGAAATCTAATCGAAAAGATCGGGATAAGTGCCGTAGATAGACCCTGCAAAAAAGAAAACTGCCTTGAACGAGTTGATACTAAAGATGTACCGGGCGCCTAGAAAATTTTTATCAGACAGCAAGTGAAAGGAAAGGTCGCGAAGTAGAAAATCCCATGGGCGCAATTCTAGTACAGCACCAATTTTAATCAGGTGATTTGAAAACCTGAGCAGGAAGTCAGTGAGGGTTACGCCGAGAAGGGAACCTCGCTTGCAACCAAGAGCTTCAAGATACAGAAAAAAGAAGTCAGCCTGGGTGAAGCACTTGTGATTGAAAAAGAATCAACCACATCGCGCAATTGATTGAACTGAAGGGTAAGCATTTCAGCAGGAAAAAAACGGCAGAACGAGCTGAGTGGGAGGGACGGAATCAATGCTAAGGTAGCATAACCAAAGGTCTAGAAAGTGAAACGAAAAGGTCAGTCAAGTCGTACTAAAGACAAGTGAACCACGCACTTCAACCACAAAGTCAAGAGCCTGACAAAGAAGTCAGTGGGATGAAAACTGAAGATCAAGAAATATTGAAAGAGAACCAATGTTGCGAAAGCGCAAGTGCAGGGAACCAAGAAGCAGGGGCACATGGTACGTTCCCTTTCCCAGCAAATCAATACCCACAACGGCCAGGACAATCTCATCTACGAGTGAGTGATATGCTGCCCAGTGGCCGAGGCCATGCCATGCGCATCAATGGCAAAAAACGAGCCCGACGACCATGGAGAGGATTGTACATGCCCGGAGATATGTGGATGCACACGACCACGTCAGCAGCGGGCGCACTCATGACTCCCCACAGGCATGTCCACACACCGCCGCCCGAGCACCTCCGTTCCCTCACGCGCAATACGCACGAGAAAGAAAGCCACGCACCATCCACAGCAAAACGATGGATCCCTGAGTTTGGCGTGGGGTCGGGAAAGGACTGGCGCTCTGCGGAGCCATCGTGTTGGGTCTGGTGAAAAAAGAAGAACATTCGCGTCGTGGAGATGAGGAGCACCGGAATCAACAAGAGAGTGGAATGAAAAATGACGCAAAAATCGTGACATATACGTCCCATACCAAGCCCGTACTGCCCGCGGCCAACATCCCGCGTTGCGCAAAGATAGCCGAGGATGAACAACCAAAAGTCGACTCCGCACCCGCCTGTGAGCGCCATCATTTCTTCCATGGCGCTGGGCCAAATGTGATGCACTGCGTCACGCCAAGGGTCATGGCAATATTCAGGCGGTTCGAGTCGCATGTGATCATGATGAGGGTTGTGGGGGAATAGAGCTGCGCGATGAGAACGAGTCCTAGACAAACTGGGCCCCCGCCAATGATAGCGACGGTGCCCCCGGGCTTCATGCCACCTCTCTGAAGAGTCAACTACTCAGAGAGATGCATGCTGATTCGGAAAGACGAACCAACACCCAGCACTCGAGAGTCAAAGCCGGTCAGCAGGACATCGCTGCACATTACCTGCGCCGCCTCTGAGGCGCCGCCCACCAGGTGATGCAGACTCCCATCGGCATGAGGGACACGCACGTACTCTGCCTGCGTCGAATCAATCAAGTGCCCCAGAACCCAGCCGCC